GCTTGAGCCCAGGAGTTGGAGGTTGCTGTGAGCTGTAATGCCACGGCACTCCGCCCAGGGGGACAGCTTGAGGCTCTGTCTCAAAAAAAAAAGAAGAGAAAAACTGTATTGAAATGGTAACACTCAATACACTCGATACTGATAGCAAACCTGAGCGCCAGTGACACTGAGCGCCTCCTCTAATTACCGAAGTCAAACGCAACTCGAGCATGACAAATTTAGTAGTTTTTTCCTTCCTTAAAACGTATGTACATTTTTTGACACACTCTGTATTTTTAGTATATCTGTAAAGTATGCCACTATGAATAATATTGTATTCCTGAACTGTATTTTCTTGAGTAAGTTGCAGGTGTGATGATTCTTTAGTTCTAAATACTTCGTGTTTATTTCCTTGAAAAGGCCGTCCCTTACATTCCAGTCATCAAAACCAGGAAATTCACATTTATGCAATACAGACTTTATTCAGATTCCTCCAGTTGTTCCCAACAATGTCCTAATAATAAAGGAAAATCCTAGATCACGTATTACATTCAGCTGTATTGTTTTTTTAGTCTCTTTTATCCTGGTCGGTCTCCCTATATCCCTTCTCTTTTGTGACATTCACCTCTTGAAGAGAGCAGGGCAAACTCACTTTAGGTTTGCCGACTGTGGCACCTGCATTCAAAGACGCCTTGTGGGCAGGATCCCGAAGAAGTGAGGTGGCCTCCTCAGGAGGCACACGCTGTCTGCTTGTCCAGTTGTGGTGAGGTCAGTTTTGACCACTTGATTTAGGTGATGTCTGCCAGGCTCCTCCACTGCAGAGTATTCATTTTTTTTTTCCCTTTGTGATTGATAAGTAATTTGTGGCAAGATACTTTGAGATCTTGTAAGTATTCTGTGCTCTCATCAAATTTTGATCCCCTGGTGGCAGAGTGTGGTGGCTCATGCCTGTAATCCTAGCACTCTGGGAGGCCAAGGTGGGAGGATTGCTTGAGCTCAGTAGTTCAAGATGGATTCTTAGCAAGACTAACTCTACCAAAAATAGAAAAATTAGCTGGGTGTTGCGGAGGGTGCCTGTAGTCCCAGGGACTCAGGAGGCTGAGGCAAGAAGATCCCTTGAACATAGGAGTTTGAGGCTGACCCCAGGGGACTCTAGCCTGGGCAACAGAGAAAGACTCTCAAAATATATACCTTTTTTGACCCCTTATTTTAGTATCTGCTGATGATTCTTGACTGAATCTATTATTGTTCTGATGACAACTGCCAAATAGTGATTTTCTAATGCTATTATTTTAAGAAATGTATCACTTACAGTAGAAAGGGCTTTCTCTGCTTGCTCCCCCCTTCTTTCCTCCTTTCCCTCTTATCTTCCGTCCTTAACCTCAACATGGACTCTTGGGTTATTATCTTGCCCTTGTTTTGTTAAGTACTACCTGTTGCTATCATCACTTATCCCCACACTCGATTTCCCAGATTTGCCCACCTCCCACATTGTACCACGAAAGATTTCCATCCTATGGAAGGGTTGAGTTATCTAGTGAACACCCATACGCCTATCACCTAAATGCTATAATTTTTGGCATTTTATATTTACTTTATCACCTGTCAATCCCCTAACTCTCTGCCCAAATTATGCGTGATGCTTTTTAGAGTGAGATAGACAGACAGACATCCGAACACCTAACCCCTGAATGATGTGGAATGAAATTGTTGGGTCACAGGATAATTGTATGTTCACTTTCCTGAGAAAACATCAGCCATATTCCAAAGAGGAAATATTTTGCATTGCCTTTTCTCTGTGGAGTTCTGGTTGCACTTCATCCTCATTATCATTCGATGATGTCAGGTTTTTAATAAATAATCATTTTAGTGAGTTTTTAGTGCTATCTCACCGTGGCTTTAGTTTGCATTCCCCTGATGATTAGTAGTGTTGAGCGCTTCCTCATGCGCCTGTTATCACGTAGCTTTTTCTGCACATGGGATCAAATTTTTTGCTGATTTAATAAATTGGTTTTTTTTTTTTTTTGCCTTTTACTGGATTATAGATACTCTTTATATATTCTGGATACAAATCTTCTGACAGATTCATGCTTTGGAAATATTTTTCCTCAGATAGTATGGCCTCCTTATTTATTTTTTTTAGTAGTTGTCTTTTGATAAGCACTGATTTTTAATTCTATTAAAGTCTAATTTATTCGTCCTTTTTTTGCAATTGATGTCTGTGTCCTTTCTAAGTAACTTTGCCTTCCCCTAGGTTACAAAAACATTTTCATTTTTCTTCTAGAAGTTTTATATTTAGGTCTAGGATCCACCTTGAACTAAAGTTTGTGTTTGATACCAAGTAGTGGTTGTGGTTTATTATTATTATTTTACTTATGGGTATTGATTGTTATAGTACCACTTGCTGGTAAACTTTATTTTCCCCACTGAATTGGCAACTTGGTAAAGAAATCAGTTGAACATATGTGCATGAGTCTATTTCTAGGTTTTCTGTGCTGTTCTAGTGACCTATTTGTCCTTAAGATTGTACCATACTTTTTCATTATTGTACCTTTATAAGGAATATTTATTTATTTTATTAAGGCATAGTCTCACTTTGTCACCCTTGGTAGAGTGCTGTGGTGTCATAGCTCACAGCAACCTCAAACTCTTGGGTTCAAGCAATTCTCTTACCTCAGCCTCCCTAGTAGCTGGGCGACAGGTACCCACCACAATGCCCAGCTATTTTGTTTGTTTGTTTGTTTAGCAGGCCTGGGTTGTGTTTGAACCTACCAGCCCTGGAGCACGTGGCTGGCACCCTAACCACTGGTCGACGGACACCTAGCCTATAAGGAATCTTTAAATCAAGTACTATATGTCTTTCAACTTTGTTTTCCTTTTTCAAGATTGCTGTGGGTGTTCTAGGTCCTTCTAATTTCATATAAATTTTAAACTCAACGATTTAGACTGTGTTGAGTCTATAGATCAGTTTGGGGAAGAGCTGCCATCTCAGTAACATGGTCTTCCAATCCGTGGATGTGCTTCATCTCTGGTTTTTAATTTGCCTTTGCAATGTTTTGTAGTTTTCAGTGTATTGGTCTTACAAATCTTTCATTAACTTTACCCCTAATGTTTTGTTTTGTATGTTACATTATAGAAATGCTTTTTAAAATTCTATTTTCTAATTTTTCATTGCTAATATGTAAAAATTCAGTGGACTTTTGTCTATTGTGTGCATCCTGTGACCTTGCTAAATCCACCTATGGGTGGTTACAGATTTCT